CTCGATTCCCAACTATCGAGAGAACCTGTTGCCCATTGATAAAAGTTGTACTGAGATTTGTTGTCAGTTTCTATCCAGACTGCCTGAGTGAATGTCTGGAGGTGTAGGCACCTCGGAATGATTGTGTTAAGCTGGCACCTAGTCCTTCCCCCGTCCACCTTTACTCTTTTCTTTACAATAAGGCTTTCAAATAAGTCATGGTTGTACGGCAGTGAAGCATCGGTGTTGAACACTAATGTCATGCTGTCGATGATGATGATGATGTACTGAGGTTCGTCTTTCGAAGTTGAATCTCGTCGATATTGGTACGCATAGATTGAACGGCTTTTCCACCCTTTCCTGTGTCGGCATATTTTAGCGTTCGTAGCATGTTGTAACTCCATTCTGTATGCGGTTAAGCAAGGTGGCGCGTACATTTGGTGTCCCCACAAATGAGCAACGAATGGTTGCGTGAGTTACCAAGCTAGTACCGCCCACCGATCCAACAAGTGTGTGCTTCTCTGCACGTGTGTTCCTTGGTCGGTATCAAATTGCAAGAGGACAGACGTGTTGTTGTCGCCATGACCAATGTTAAATTAATCTATGCGGCTAGTATTTTGGTATTTCGAAGTGTGCGCAATCGATAGTCAGCAGCTATCGACCGCATCACGGCCGTAAGCAGCTGTAAAGCTGCATAGGGCTTCGCAGACGAATGAAATGAGCTTCGGTTACTCTACAGAAAACAAATGTTTCCGAGATCAGGTAGACCTGTCTTGGTCACAATCACTGTTAATCTGTTCCAGTACCAAAACCTAGAACCACCGAGTTCCAAATATCTTCATTTCATTCAACTTTCTCTCATTTACTGGCGGAATATGAACTGCTATCAGAGAGCTAAGTTGACCCCGTAGAAATTAGAGAGAGGTATTCGTTCAGGTCTAATTTAAAACTATTTACAGTTCTTCTACATCAGCGTACCCCTGACGTCAACCAACCTACCAAACGGTTTTGGTTGGTAACAACCAAATCCTGTTTTGAACAACTCTTAAGTGGGCGAAATCCCGGGGAAAATTTTCCTCCATGTGCTAGACCACGCTATTCATACCATGCAGTAAGGGAATGATGTAGAAATTTCATATTGAGCTACCTAAACCTCACGGATCTAAGAACAAGCTCTAACATTTCTACTCCTCTTGGGTGGGTGTTTGCAACCGGTCGATTCTCTCAGACTGATGCCACTCTTGTGGTATCGATCTCTAAGATACTACTTAAATGTACGTTCATTGCCTGGCAAATTTCACCACATCACAACGCGATAATCAGAAATAGAATGGACTCCAGTTCTTGTGGAAATTGGTGAAAACTAAAAGACCTGATTAACGTGATAGCTCATCTCAAAGTGCTACACAGTTCCGGCATCTCTTCTCTCACGGGAGCAGAACGTGGATGGTCATGAAAGGCAATCCTCTGCGTACTTGATCACATTTGAGAACATCTAGATAGATGATGCAAGTCCAGTTATCATTATTTCGGAGGTTGTTATGTCCTCTATTGGGACTGTGAAAAGTAGGGATGTTCTTCCTTTGTTTGGTCTCGAACAACAAATCATTTCTATCTTCTCGTTCACTGTTCAGCTGTCACTTATCTCGCTTATTGCATAAGCATACATCAGTGACCCGGGCAGCATTCTTAGGAATAGTGTATTACGTCTAGACAATGTATTGCGAATGAATATCGGGCCAACTGAAACATGAGGCAGCCTGGTGCAGCACATTTGGTTGAAGAAAACCAGTACAAACGAGTGATTCGGCTGGATTCAGTTGAGTTTCACATCATAACCAAAATCGTATGCAAGTATTTGTAGGTTTGACAAGCTTCGACCTTTCCTATCTGGCTCGTTGACTAATGTCGACTTAATCCCGGTGACAGTGAACTGTATCAGAATACCCTCGCTGACCTACAGAAAGAAGTTCTCTGAGCAAACGGTCCGACTTCTTTTCAGTGCACATGTTTTTTACCGTGCAATCTCGTGATCAGTATTAACAGATCAAGTTGTACGATGCTGTACACAATCCATTAGGGTTGAGGTTGGATTCTATGGCTTATTTATGCCAAAACTTTATGAGCTCAGTGATAACGCAGAAAAACTTTCCCACCCTCCCTTTATCCAACGCTACGAGAAACTGTATGATGCAGTACTGCTTCATGTGGATGTCACTAGGCTTGTCAGACTTATACAATGGAGACAGAATGCGGTTGCCTTAGGAGTGCCAACAAGTTGAACATGGATTCCCCACGGGTAAAAATGGAATCACATGCCTGAATAAGGACAGCGCAAGTTGCACAAGCGCAAATTCAAACACCTGATGGACGACTCATATTACAAAACTAAAAGTGAGGGAATAGGTAGGGCTGGGATGGTATCGCAACAAATAATCCTTTTCCAAGGTCACATCTCTCCGATTCTCCCACCCAAGGTATCACGTCTCGAGACATAGATAGCAAATCCTCTTCGTTCCTAAGTTACCACAGGTTGGCTTACAAACAGTGGATTTTTGACAGTCTTGTTTATTTAGCCTCATGTGGGATAAGAAGAGATGCCTTTGCGTGTGTAGGTCGGTGAGCTGGCTTAGAAACCTGTAGACGGTATTCTTAAAAAGTAAGTCGTTCATACCTTAAGCAGCCTTTGCTTTTTTGCCTTTTGACGCATTAACCAAGTTTGACATGGCTTGCTTTTACTGAAGAACGTCAGTTTTAAAAGCGCTTCAAAAACTGGTTTCAAACGTGCTTTTGCTACGACAGTATTGGGCACTGACATCATGTGTGGACCTCACTACCAGTGAAGTCTCCCTGTTACACAGAGGCAAAGAATGTACTTCTAGTGGTAATAAAAAGAACAGTACATTCAATATTTACTGGTGACACCAAAGCTCCAAGAGTTCTAGCGTTTGATGCGTTCTGTCCAACCGAACATTGGTGGAAATAGTGCTCGTTAGATACGAGCTGTGCACAGTGCCGTCCCCACATGGTCTGATATATGGCGTTCATGGTTATCGGCAGTCGCACATGAACTCACTGATATATATTCTATCGCAATCCTTCATCAGGGACAGAAGTTTATAAAACACTCAGGGTAAGTTTTAAAAACAAATTGGCGTTGTCAAAAATTCATGCGAATCAATGAACCTTCATCAGCGACCTTAGTAGAAACACCGTGGTATGTTGAAGTGAAAATTCAGCAGTGGGGGCGGGTGTCAGCGATTGGAATGATAAAACTGTGTCTTCCATCCACTCTACAGAATTTTTGACAGGAAAGTTTTAACAGCCCAAGGAGGAGAATTAATTTTTGAGTATCCTTTCATGTTTTGTGATTTTCGGTGACAAATGATGCTTGATATCCATGTAGAGCTATGTGAGACACAGCGACGCAATCTTTCTGTGATATATTTGAAGATTGATTCCAAAGTTTTTGCGAAGCTTTTACGTGAATACATAGTTTGGAATGATAAACTGTGTCTTCCATCCACTCTACAGAATTTTTGACAGGAAAGTTTTAACAGCCCAAGGAGGAGAATTAATTTTTGAGTATCCTTTCATGTTTTGTGATTTTCGGTGACAAATGATGCTTGATATCCATGTAGAGCTATGTGAGACACAGCGACGCAATCTTTCTGTGATATATTTGAAGATTGATTCCAAAGTTTTTGCGAAGCTTTTACGTGAATACATAGTTTTCTTCAAACATGAAAGCAGTGTGATTGTTACGAATGTAAATCAGAGCAAGGAGAAAAGGGCTACTTTTACGTCCGGAATTTATTCGATGATTGGTGCAATGAGACATGAAGTATCTCTCGTTAGGACTGGTGATGCAACCGTACATCGTAGGCTAGCCTTAGGCTAACCGTGTACAAATCACGTTGTTAGTCCACGAATAGTCACTGAGTCTCTTGAAAGATATCTATCTTGCGAGAAGATGCTGTCAACGACTGATATGGAGTGAGAACTTGTTTGGTTTCTGTGTCCCCCACCTACCGAACAACAGGGAACTAACAAAGCCTCATTCATTGTTTCGCCCGCATTTACTTTTCTTGGTTTCTAAAATCGGGTTCACGGTCACCAATTGTGAGGTGGTTTCGTCAGTTTTTCTTCAAACGTATGTGGTTTCCCCGACCATAATCACAGCGTGATGCGTACAAAAAGCGTATGCATTCTGATAGAAAAAAGCTGAATTACTGACATTCACACCATATTCGATGGTATTACTGCTATTATTACGATGTCTATCTACTCACTACTTTACATTTGTCTGCTGAACTGTTGTTGAATACAGTTATCCTACCAACCATCCTAGAAAGACAATTTTTGTCTTCCCTTGATATCGCATTGCCCCGAAGAAGGCCTCCCTGAATTCCGACCAACAACCACTTTCTGAAGCAAATTTTGGTCGAGTTCGAAGCGGCTCACGTGTTTTGAAAGGAGGCGCAACAGCCTAGTTTCCGTTGGTAGTGTGAGGAGATTTGGGACTTTTTGGGGTTTCGTCCTGTAAGTGAAGCCAATCTAACCTGAAAAGCCGGTTTTTCAGCATAAACTGGCTTCACTTACAGGACGAAATCCCACAAAAAGCCTAGTTTTCGTTGCACAAATCTACATCTCTGGTTCTGCTGTATGTTCTTGACCAGAGGGGTGTGAATGCAGATGACAAAACGTCTTAGTGTCAGGATGTTACGGCACCTTTTCGAAGAACAAGGTTTACTTCAAAGCTCTGAAATACACATATTGCTGAAATTACGAATTTCATGCTTTAGATCATACTTTTGTTGACTAGTGTCGTCAGTTTGTCGGAACGAACGTTTCGGAGACTGAGTCAATCCTATCTAAAGTCGTTACTGGTACAATACCGAATTTCTATCAAATTTCGTAATAATCGGTTACAAGATTTCAGATGAATATTCAGTCGTTACAAAAACGAAACCCTCGAAAAAACACAGGCACTTGTGCTGGAACACCTTTCCAACACTTACCGGGTGTTCTGTGGCTCGTTCCCTGGCTAGTGCTCAGGTAATCCATCGGCTGTATACCATAATAGACCCGTAACCAGTCCCAATATTGTCTTCGCAACTCATCGTATCCACCACTGGCCTGTGATCTCAAACCTTGCGGAGTATTCCGAGAACTACGCAGCTTCGTCGTGGCTGCATCCGAAAAAGGGCGCATTGCACACAGCTCTCCGATTTCACATGTGTTATGCAAGTGAAATAGTGTCGAAAAAGCGAGAGTGGCTTAACCGTCACACAATCAAACGGCCAATCACATCAGATTGCATAATTAGCCGAAAGCTCGGCTTTGGATTACGGACGCAGCTGCGAGAAGCTCCGAAACGTCACACATACGCCACAGACGAATAGTGATGTGCATTTGTTCTGCACTTTTCCGGGCGCTACACTTACATGGTAGGTGAATAATAACACGAATTTTTTCTGCACTGATCCAAACATATAACCTTTCATGCGGGGGTACACTAGTTTATTGATTGAAGTATTCGGTTGTCTTTTGTTATTTAAGGACATTACGCGAGCATTTTAATCAACTCATCCTTGGTAGATATAACTATCGTCACTTCACATCAACGCATCCCGAATAAACAAAGAGCTGGTGGATATTTACGTTGTGCATTCTGATCTAGGTTGAAGTATACAATACTGTTGTCTTCACAAATACTCCTAAACTGCCCGCGCTTGGCTCTAGTGCCGCCAAAACGGTCCAGCTGTTATATGAAAATATTCTACTGAAGAACCTAATGAATGACGATGACAGGACAAATGCAAGCATCTTCTGAGATCCATTCGCGTCAGCAGGTTTCATCTGTCGAGGGAACGTGGTGGTTCCTGGTGGTCTGGATGGGAGCCCTGAAACTAACAGCTATACTAGATTTTAAACAGTGTGGTGTTGAAATTTCATCAAATGCTCTTTTGTTTCCAACGTGGTGGCAGACATTTTTCCTTCAGTGCATGGTTTTGAACGAAGGTACTCAACCTTCTAGAGATGGAAGCGTGCTTGTGAGTGCTGATTGGCATCAGACACTGATCCACCGATAAACGTTGATTGGTCTATTGGACTCCTGCGCGTAATATTCCAAACTACCGCCTTGCCTGCGTTGATAAGGACAAGTCATCGGGCATCCATCGGTAAACCGTTAACCTCAATGCTAGAAATGCCAGTTGATCGATAGAAGAGAACGTTTTGTGATAAGGCCTCCCTAGTGCGGCATCGGATACGCCACACTCCACAAAATTAATATAGGTGGACGTTTGTGCGTGCATGACATCAGAATACAACCAACAGTGTTTTGTTCGACGAAATACCGCACTTCACCCACATGTTTCACAAACGAACACTTCAGGTGAACGGTATTAGACGCATCCCTTTTGCTCAATCAAACTGTAGCGTCGGCCCAGTCGGCATTACATGAAGATGCTTTGGAAAGTGCGGTTTTCCGGAAGATCATTTAGTAAACCACAAAAAGAGCTGCGTCCAAACCTTGTTCAAGAGGGCGGAGGCACACTGCAGCACCACAGAATTACGGAAGGAGGAAAACCGTCTATTCAGAGTGTTCCAGAATAATGGATATCCAAGGAGTTTTATCAAGAGAAGCTTGAAGAAGGCATCTCAACAACAGTAACAGCAAGAACAGGCAACCAGACGGGTAGTCCTACCTTACACCATGAATATATCAGAACTCGCAACCAGACTATTGGCTCAAAAAGGAATCTTCGTGGCCCATAAACTGAATGCCACTCTAAGAAAATTAACCTCTAGACCGGGGCAAAACCAAGAGGAACAATGTGATATACCAAATCGACTGCAACGACTGCAGCAAATTCTACATTGGACAAACTGGGAGGAAAGTATGTACACGAATAAAGGAACCTAACGCGGCTGTCAGGAGACATGACCCCCTGTACTTGATATCCATACACGAGGATGGAGAAGGCCACAAGTTCAATCTGGAAAACGCGAAATTTTGGCATACGGAGACGCGACACGGAAGAGAATTTCTGAAAGCACGGTACTCCACGGCGGAATCGGTCAACCGGTGAATCGAACTGGGTCCAATTTACGCACCTCTACGTGCGAAAGACCAACGTCGCAACCAGAACACTCAAGGAAGACCGAATATTGGATTCACAAACGAAGAAACAAGGAACTTTTCGGAGTCAAATCAATAAAGGTCACGAGCCGGAACTCGGAAGGACAAAGGTCACTCCAACACCAACCAGACTACGACGGCGAGGGATGCCAAGCTCAAACGTCACGTGAGCATCGGTGAATGAGGACACGGGATGGAAGAACAACCAATGGAACCGCCCGACCAAATAACTAATCGCGGTCAAAGGTCATCCCCGGCTACCAGCACGTATATCAACACACACGTAACACTACTCAACGCACTAACCCACCGCTACGCACAACTACGCTCCCCAACAACGCACTGATGATGTCACCTCGATTGGTGATGAAACGTTTGCAATCGAATTGCCCAGCTCAGCGAACAAGCCAACGACCACCTACGCTACCTGAGCCACCTACATTTTCCTCTATAGGTCATAGTGCATTATACGTGCAACCTTAGCAAAAGAATATATTGGGGTTGAATGTAAGAGAGCAGAATGCACAGATAAACTGAACTTTGGATTAGGTTTTAGTACCTCAGAACAGCCTCTGACGAGACTCTGCGTCCATCTTCAGGGCAAGTTGCGTAGGGATCAATGTGGGACTAGGAAGTTTCGGTGGGTTACAAGGGAAGCACCATCCTGCACTGCTTACCTGCATACGTTGGAATTGTTAAATAGTTTTCAGTTTTCCTTTACCTGAAAGTTTGGTGCTATGTTGACATACCTCAATGACGAGTACGTCAAATTCACCAAACGAAGCAGCTTACCACAAATGCGCATAATATGTTTTTTTATTACTCGTCCTTCGTAGTGACGGTATCCGGCAAGTTAATGAATTAACTCCTCAGTGTAGATGTAATATACTACTCATAAGGTTGCTGAAAATCCTTTGACAGTCCACGACCAATTACGCCTTTCTTGGAGCTCGTCAGGTAGGCGCACTGCCCGACTTTCTATCAACCATATGTTCTACTTGAGACTAAATTGTACGAAAGTAGCGAACTACACTCATTAGCAAATAAATGTGGCCTTTCAAGAGACCCAACTGAAACTCAGCTGCGTTCCAGTTAAGTCTCTTGAAAGACCAAATTTGTTTGCTAATCAATGTATTCCGCTAACTACTCAGTGCATTTTTTCGTAACTACAGGTGTATAGAATAAGGGTTGAGTGGTATGACTTAAACGTTTTGCCTCAAGACGGAGCGCTTCCAAGTACAGCTCATTCGTACAGTGCAGTGTATATATATATATATATACATATATATATATATATATATCGTTTTATA